AGGGCAGGGGTAGGAAGAGAACTGCTATTGAATCAGGATCAGAGTGATTTTTTAAGCAATTTTCAAAATGTGGTTATTTGACTGTTTAGCTTTGGTAGTTATTTATAACCCCAGCTGCAGAGGCGGAGACCTGCGCCTGAGCCTGCTGGGATCTGTCCAATAAATAATTTCCCCCAGGGTGGGGCTGGGGCTGGGGCTGGGGGTGAAGGGTGATATAAGAACCAAATTAACAAGTGGCCAGAAGGTAAGAGAAGTTCCAGGCCATTTCCTTCAACGGTAGGGAAGAAGGGCTCATTAGTGATTGTGCTGACTCTATTTTTAAATAAACTGCAAATGAAAAGATTTTAGTATGAATTATGTTCACATCAGCAGCCTCCAAGATTCTCCCAAAGGGATAGAGACTAGACCAATACTTTGACTCAGAAGTTGTAAGATTGGCAAGGCTACATTAGTATTGTCTTTAAAAGGTCAAGGCAAATACTTCCCCTACCTTACAATACTGCACACAGAGGAAACGGCTGTGCCTAACCCCTCCTGTCAGAAAGAGGTTAAGAGAGAGGACAACTGGTTTTGTGCAAGTCTTTCCCAACTAAGTCAACAATTGGCAATGGGGTCAGGAATTTGCCATCCCATTTACCGAGCCATTTTAGGTGCCACGCAGTAAGAGAGAGGCTGGAGATGCTGTGGCCATTTGGGCAAGGATCCCAACCTCTAGAAGCAAAGAATGACAGATAAAGAAAAAGAAATCGCCCACCACTTCCAGTCCAGTCTCCTTAGTGGGGCATCAAATACACTGCTTGGACTGGTTCCCCAAACCATTCCTAACTTTTTTTTTTTTGAGATAAGAATCTTACTCTGTTGCCCCAGGCTAGAGTGCCACGGCATCAGCCTACCTCACAGCCACCTCAAATTCCTGGGTTAAAGTGATCCTCCCATCTCAGCCTCCAGAGTAGCTGAGACTTCAGGCGTGCACCTAACCACACCCAGCTAATTTATACCACATCAGTCACCCCCATAGACAATGATGCTTCATACTTCTGTACTTTTGCACAAGCTGTTCCCTTTGCATGGAAAGCCCCTATTTTCCTTGACCACTGGCAAACATTCATTCTATCAAATTCCATTCTTGTTTTACCTCTTTTATGAATCCTTTCCTAAACCTTCCAGATGAAACACTCCACTTCCTCCTCTGTACCACTTCTGAACCTTGCTTTTCCTTCTATTTTTCCATGCAATATTCTACAGTATTTTGGAACTATGAGCTTACTCCCCTGTCTTCCCTACTGGACTCTAAGCTCCTTTAGGGGAAAGATGGTGTTTTTTCCATTTTGGTGTGACTCAATGCCTGGTATGTAATGCCTGGGTAATCACTCTGTATCATTTGAGTTAAAGTGAGGTTGAACAAGCAAAAGCAAATAAACACTGAGGCCAAAATTACACGAAATTAGGTGTTATAGCCATGCCTGGGGTGACTGAAAATATAAATAACAACAGTCATTCATAGAGTAATTACTCTGTCAGGAATTATTTGAAGTGTTTTATAACACACATCTCCTTTATTTCCTGTAACAACCTTGTGAAGCGGACATTAATATCCTCACTTCACAGATGAGAAAACTAAGGCATAGATAAATCTAAAAACTTGTCCAAGACCAATGCAGATAGAAAGTGGCAGAGCTGGCTCGGCACCTATAGCTCAACCGGCTAAGGCGCCAGCCACGTACACCTAAGGTGGCGGGTTCGAATCCCCAGCCCGGGCCCACCAAACAACAATGATGGCTGCAACCAAAAAATGGCCAGGCGTTGTGGCGGGCGCCTGTGGTCCCAGCTACTTGGGAGGCGGAGGCAGGAGACTCGCTTGAGCCCAGGAGTTGGAGGTTGCTGTGAGCTGTAATGCCACGGCACTCTACCCAGGGGGACAGCTTGAGGCTTTGTCTCAAAAAAAAAAAAGAAAGTGGCAGAGCTGAGACTCAGATACAGATCTGACATGAAAGCCTGTGCTGGTGACTAGTAGAACTGATGAATAAAGCAAATTTATGTTCCTATCATCTGTTGGGAAGAGGACTGGGGACCAGGATTATCTACCAAAGTATATAAGGAAGAGTATAAATAAGCAGCAAGTGCAAAATAATACACGTCTATGCCCTAATATCTTGCAAAGAATAAAACAGGAAAGATTTTCATATATATATATATTTTTTATTATTATTTTTTGAGACAGAGCCTCAGGCTGCCGCCGTGGGTAGAGTGCAGTGGCGTCATTGCAGTATTTGTCATTGTTGTTTGGCAGGCCCAGGGGGCATTCGAACTTGCCAACTCTGGTGTATGTGGCTGGCGCCTTAGCTGCTTCAGCTACAGGTGCCGAACTTAGGAAAGATTTTCTTTTTTTCTTTATTTTGAGACAGAGCCTCAAGCTGTCCCCTGGGTAGAGTGCTGTGGCATCACAGCTCACAGCAACCTCCAAATCCTGGGCTCAAACAAGTCTCCTGCCTCAGCCTCCCAAGTAGCTGGGACCACAGGTACCCACCAAAACGCCCAGCTATTTTTTGGTTGCAGCCATCATAGTGGTGTGGCGCACCACCGCGCGGGATTCGAACCCACCACCTTAGGTGTATGTGGCTGGCGCCTTAGCCACTGGAGCCACAGGCGCTGAGCCAGGAAAGATTTTCTAAAGAAATAAATTTTAAAAAGGATTGGGAGGTGCATCCAGACAAGAAGAAAAGCCCATGACAAAGTATAAAGAAAGTGTAAGACAGGGAGAACTGCAGAGAGTGCATATGAGAAGTCTGGTAGATGAGGATGGACAGAGGGCAACCAGTCAAAGGCTTTGAAAGTATCAGTTCCTCTTTGGGGAACTTATTGTCATGATAAAAATGGCCCTCAAAGTAAAGATTATATTTGGTTACAAAAGAAAGAAAGAAAGAAAGAGCTTTTAAGATTTCCCCTTTCAGTTGCGCATGGTGGCACGCCTGTAGTCGCAGTTACTTGAGGCTGAGGTGGGAGAATCACTTAAGCCTAGGAATTCCAGATCAGACTGAGCAAAAGAAGGCTAGAGCAGTTGTTCTCAATGTGTGGGTTGTGACCCATAGGAACTGTATTAAAGGTTTCATGGCATTAGGAAGGTTGAGAACTACTGGGCTAGAGTCTGTCTGGAGAAGGGAGGAGGACAGATTCCCCTCCCCAATCTAATTATACTTAGTTGGTCTCTAATCTCAAGTACTGTAAACATTTTTTTCCTTATCATCATATTTCTATCTGACTGGTGTTAGTTTTCTCATCTTTCTGCCAGCGTGTACACTTTCCAAGGACAAGAACCACATTTAAATGAAATTGTAAACTCTTTAATGTCAGCTGCAGTGTTAGAGAATCCAGTGTAAGAGATTAACTATATTGAGCACTCATAATGCTAGTACTACGTATTTGTGTGATGGATGCTTAGGTCAGGATAAGATCTTATTCTAAAATACTAATTTCCAGGGAAGGATACTTTACCACCTGTGACTGCTGTATATTCAGAGACCGTAAAGGGTAATGATATTCTTACTGACCAGCAAGCCATTTACCGTGGGTAGAACAAGGTCTGGGCACTAATTAGAAAGGGTGATGTGAAAGAATTAAGATACTCTCTCAGCATAAGAGATTCTTATCACCAGTCAGGGATCCAGAACACAACAAGAGCCACCTCAGGAACGTATTAGTAAATGCAAAATAGCAGAGTAACAGTATGAAATTAAATGCTTAAGTGTAGAGGGGACAAAGAAGAAATGCAAGCCATCGTCAAATAGGTTCTTATGAGTAGCTCAACCTAAGTAAGTTATCAAAGGTATTTAAACCAAGCACTAAAAGCTAAATATTAAGTACAAAAAGCTGCTTGTGTCAACAGTGGCCCAGGATATTCCCAAGGAGAGTGCTGGCTAAGGGTCAGGAACTTTAACTCTTCCCAGTTCTCTTTTTAGTACATCAATCAGATGTTTACATTCTGCTGCTTTGTTCTTTAGCCCTGCTCCTGGGGGGAAATTTCCATCTTAATTGGCCACAAGTTGAAATGGGGGAGGGAGTCCAGGATCCTAACTTAATGACTGAGCTAGCCTGGATTCTACCCAGTCGCTCTAGACCAAGACTTTTCCTCTACGGAGGTTAAATTCTCAAAGCCTGCTCTCCACTTTCCAACCTCTTCTTATAACTCTTGTTCCAACCTAATATCAGGGAGCAACTTCTCCTTCCTAGGCGCTGTCATTATTATTTAAATATCCATTCTTTTGGGGGCTTCAACTTCACTAAAAATATTCCTTTCTTTTCCTCCTTCTCCTAATTCATACATCTGGATTCCAGAAGTCATATGGGCTAAAATGGGTTCAACAGCTTCTCCGACTATGGAACAGCACCCTCACATTAAAGTCACATTTTTCACCCCTGGCCACCCAGCGCTCTCAAACCCAAACACAGTGGGGGAAGGAAGTGGGCGCTCACCGCAGAGCTAAATTGGGAATTCTTTGGAGCTACAGCTTCTGGAAAATGTTTTTGCCTCCCCAAGCGTTGTGCACGACTAACTTTCTTTCTTTCTTTCTTTTTCTAACTTACTTTCTGTTCTCTAAAGGTAAGAACAGTGTCTCCTCTGCTAGACAGGAACTTCCTGAGGACACTACTCTTTCGTTCCTTTTTCAAGCCCCCATTCCCATTCCTTTGAGACACGAGATGGCTGTTAAAAGTTTCCTGTGTAAACTATCCTTTTCCAACTTTGAGTTTATATGACACACAGAAATGTCTTAGTTAATTAGGCAAGGAAGGGGTTAAATTTCAGCAACCTGATGGATTCCGGGGATTTCCTTCTCCGACTCCCTAAATTAAAACAACCAGGAAGGGAAATTTTGCCCAAGATAAAGATGAGAACCATTTACTCTGACTGTAAGGATTCTGCCCCAAATAAGAATGGCTACCCACGTCCACAAAGGGTGCCACTTACCTAACTAAAAATGGCAGGCCCGGGTTCCCACTATTGCAGTCATTTTCTTGCCCAACTCCAAAATGGCACCCACTAGCTTCATCAAAAGGAGACAACCTCCCAGCACCCTCTCTGGCCCGTAACGTCATGTGACGCGAGACCCAACCGGAAGTGAAGGAAAAAGCGCTTCAGCCCGCGGCGCCTGCGCAGAACGCTCTAGACGCTGAGAGGTAGGAGGCACTTGGGATCGTCTGCAGGATTGGGACTGCTATAGAGGCCGCCACGGAGCCCGCCGGAGCCACCGTTCCTGCTGCTGCTGCCGCCGCTGCCCGAATCGGAACCGTCGGGCCGCAGCCGCCGGCAATGCCGCGAAGGAAGGTGAGAAATGCGAGAGAAGGGATGGCGGGTTTCTAAGGACAGTAGATCGAGCAGCGTGACGCAATTGGCCACGCCTCATAGTGGTTGACTTCCAACTTTCCCCTCCTCCGATCCTAGCTTAGCCATCCTCTTTTCTGTACATACCCAACAGAAAAATGTGGGCCCGACCCTGGCCTCGGCCTATGCTCGCAACTATTCCCGCCCTCTGCTTGCCTGGATCGGAGGCGTTCTTATTGCTAATTGGTTGCCGAAGCGCGTAGAAACGTATTGATTGGCTGGTGACTCCGCCTATTTGGGCCCAACGGTCACCTCCCCGCGTGCGGGGGTGGTGTCTAGGTCCGGCCCTAGCGTTTTCCAACTGGCTGGAGAGAACGATCCCTCCTCTCCTGATTGGCCAGACTTGGCAGTCTGTCGCGTAGGGGCGCGGTTTAGCAGGACCTCGATTGGGCGGCACGAATCCCCGCCTTTCTGGGTAGGGATGCTGATAGGCGCAGAGGCGGAGTTTGAGGTCTTTCCTTTCCTGGTGGGGGGCACAACAAAGCCGAGAACTGAGTAGTGGAAAGCCAGCGCCCACTCCCAAGGGATCCTACTCAGGGTTTTTGCACCTCAGCCTTAATATTTACTTATTTGCTTAGTTCGTAGAAATAAACAACTTTCTAGAAGTAGAGAATTTGTGAGATCACCTAGGAACGACCCCTTCCTCTTCTTTTTACAGCTATACAAACGACTAAAGGAGTGCCCCAAGCCACTCAGTGGAAGTGGCGGAGCCAGAGCTATGGAGCAAATCGAAATCAACTCAGAACAAATCTAATTAAACAGATGCTTATTGACTGACTACTTGGTACTTGGTGGCTGCTGGGGATTCAGTAAATAGACATGATTCCTGGCTTACACACGTCACAGTCTGATGGGGGGAAACATGTAAATAACTGTAGAAGGATTTAGTAAATTCTTTATTTGGAGGCATGTGTAAAGTGTTACAGGAGAGAGATGAAAGAACAATTAAATCTGCTTTGGAGTAATGATGGGGGGTAGATTGGTGAAGAGCTGAGTCCCAGGTTGAAGCCAGGAGGGGATGGTCCCAGGTCAAAGATTGAAGTATCTGCGTAGCTGAACTACAGTAGTGATCTTTAAGATTCTCCCTTTATCCTAGAGATTTTCTGTGACTCTCCGGTCTCGATCCATTTCTTGGTAGGTTACTTTAGACATATTTGGAAAGCTGCATGGTATTCTTGTTTATTTCTATAGAAATTTTTCTCTTCACAGAGGCTTTCCAGGTTAAAAATGTATGCTCTTTAATGTCTTCTAAAATGACCTAAGTTGGCAAGGTATTTGTGTTAAGGATCACCAAACGCAGGAATAGTATTGGTACTTTGGAATATGTCCACCTTCCCCTTTCTCCATTTCCCAAATACAAATAATTCTCAAAAATGTAAGTTTTCAAGTAACTCATTTGGTGGTAAACTTTTCTTTCTTTCTTTTTTTTTACTTTTTGTACATATGGCTTTGACACTTTTTAGTTAGCTGGGCACTCTAACACCATAGTTCACAGGTGGTAAACCTTTCTTAAAATTGCAGGAAGTTACTTATGGTTTTCATCTCATTTAGTGTGACTGTTTATATCTTGCAGCAGAAATACTACTGTGTTTGATTATGGGGTGTTACTTGCAGGATATATGCAAAATACTCTTTTTCTAAAAAAAATTATGAATTCCAAAGATAACTGGTCCTATGGGTTTTTTTTTTTTTTTGGTTTGTTTTTTTGGGGTTTTTTTTTTTCAGTTTTTGGCCAGGGGCAGGTTTGAACCCGCCACCTCCAGTATATGGGGGCTGACACCCTACTCCTTTGAGCCACAGCCGCCACCCCAATGAGGTACCTGGTCTTATGAGTTTTGAATAAAGAATGGGTAGTTTAGGTGGTGCCTGAGCTCAGTGGGTAGGGTGCCGGCCACATATACCCAGGCTGGCAGGTTTGAACCTGGCCAGGGCCAGCTAAACAACAATGACAACTGCAACAAAAAGCTGGATGTTGTGGCCAGTGCCTGTAGTCTCAGCTACTTGGGAGGCTGAGGCAAGAGAATCACTTAAGCCCAAGATTTTGAGCAGTTGCTGTGAGCTGTGATGTCACCGCACTTTACCGAGGTGTAGAATGGGTAGTTTGAATCTTTTTTTTTTTTTTGAGACAGAGCCTCAAGCTGTCCCCCTGGGTAGAGTGCCGTAGCATCTCAGCTCACAGCAACCTCCCACTACTGGGCTCAAGCGAGTCTCCTGCCTTAGCCTCCCAAGTAGCTGGGACCACAGGCGCCCGCCACAACGCCCGGCTATTTTTTTTTTTTTTGGTTGCAGCTGTCGTTGTTTGGTGGGCCCAGGCTGGATTCGAACCCGCCACCTTGGGTGTATGTGGCTGGCGCCTTAGCCACTTGAGCCACAGGCGCCCAGCCGGTAGTTTGAATCTTTGTATTGTTTTAGCAAATACTTTTCCATTTCTGGCTTAATAAAGACAATGGTGTTAAGATTCAGTTGATAAGAGTTATCTTTATGGCTAATTACTCCTCAAGAGGCTAATAATTGACAAATAATAGTGATTATTTTTTGAAACAGTTTCACTTTCTTACCCTCCATAGAGTGCTGTGGCATCACAGCTCACAGCAACCTCAAACTGTGGGCTCAAGTGATCCTCTTGCCTCGGTCTCCCAAGTAGTTGGGACTATTGGAGCCTGCCACAATGACTGGCTATTTTTAGAGACAGGGCCTTGCACTCCTGAGCTCAAGCGATCTACTTGCCTCGGCCTCCCAGAGTGCTAGGATTACAGGCGTGAGCCACCTCACTGGCTGAGGGCTCTATTTTTCTTTCTTTCTTCCTTTTCTTTTTTTTCCATAAAGAGTCCCAGGCAAGGTTCGAGCTCACTTCTCAAGGTTTGCAGGACCAGCACACTAACTACTGAGCTATGGGACCCAGCTACAAATCATTATAAATTTAAAAAATGCTTTTGAAAATGTTTTTGGATACCCATCAATCTTCATGTGCAAGCTGCCTTTTTCAGCACTTTTGGCATTCATGTGGAGAAACTTCAAGGATAGATGTTATAAGAAAAATAATTTTTATCTTTTTCTGCTTAAGTTCTTTTGGGTTTAGAGTTGTGGACTATGATATTTTGAAATAGTTCATGTCTTTTTAAAGATGTGGTAGCTGTTCATAGAGTCTTTGAACAAAAGCATCTCTAAAATTAAATGGGGCGTAGCACCAACATTTTTCTCACTACCTTAGATGGTTTTTTTCCTTTTCTTTTTGCATGATCATGTCAGCCAGCCAGATCATTTGGAGTTGGGTACTTTTATTACGAGTTTGTGGTACTGATCTCAAAGTGGACTTGGTTCAGAATTAGTGGTAATACAGTAAAAAGTAATTTTCTTCATTTATTTAAGAAAGATGCCTTATTTGTAGGTTGTTCCTTTTCAGTGTCCCAAATAAAGGGAAGTTGGCTCTAAGCAGGGAAGGGAAATGTTTGAGGAATTCTTTCTTAGGTTTGAACTTGGTGTTCCCAACATCACAGTTTGTTTTGTTTCCAGTGTGTTAATGCAAACCCACAGAGTAAATGCTTCAGTGCTAATGTCTGGATCTATGGTATTACAGAGGAATGCAGGCAGTAGTTCAGATGGAACCGAAGATTCCGATTTTTCTACAGATCTTGAGCACACAGACAGTTCAGAGAGCGATGGCACATCCCGACGATCTGCCCGGGTCACCCGCTCCTCAGCCAGGCTAAGCCAAAGTTCTCAAGGTAAAAGTCTTCCTTCTTCCTGACCACTGCTCACAGATGACTGGCGGGTCATCATGCAATGGTGTTTAATATGGAAACTGGTGCCTTGGCTTGCCGTCGATGACAGTACACCTGAAGACTGATAAAATGCAGAGCAAATGCAGAAATAGCATGTCTTTAATAGGGCTTAGACCCAAAGGAACTGTGGCTGCTATAGTGGACATGAAACACATGTATGTTTTGAGTCTTTCTTTCTTTTTTTTTTTTTTTAGCTTGTTATCTCTCCATCAGTAAAATGGGAACATTATCCCTTCACTTTCTGTTAGAATGGCTTGGGCTTAGGGACTGGAAGCACAGATGGGCAGCAAGTTTAGAATTGTTTAACTTAACAACTATGCCATGGTGCTAAAGGAGTATGCATTCTTTAGAAACCATAACTTTGGGGTGGTGCTGGTGGCTCAGTGAGTAT